TTGGCTAGCTTCCCCCTCTCTATCCCACACACATTGGGTGATTACCTTCTCTTTGAAAATGGCTTGTTTTTCTTCTTTTAGATTCCACCATCTAGTCCTTGGGCACTTCCAAGTCTTGTTCTTTTGTCTTACTCTTTTGATATGTACATCCATCACCAACAAGCGATGTTGATTAGCCACGCTCTCTCCTGGTATAACTTTGCAATCCTTACAAGTTATACGATCCCCTTTCCAAACATGTTACGTTGTTTTGACCAACTTAACTAAACTTATACCGACTCTTGGTTGATCAACACGCGTTTGTACGTTTTCCATCTTCTTGTTTTTAAACTCGATGTTCGGAATTGGAGGTTTGAGATGGAGAATTGGAAAGGTGAAAATTAGAGGAATAGCACTAACATGAATTACGGAGAAAGACGGGGTTTGCGGAATCCAGACAAGCAGACAAACTCAACAGAGGGAAGCGAGGGGTGCTTTGAATTTTGAATGGAGGTTGCCAGGTGGCAGCTCCTTCTGAATCTCAACGTGATTTCTGCAAAATTTTCCTTCTTCCCCATTTCCCCATCTTATCCTCTGCACCATATAAATGTGAGCCCTCCACCCTCTCTCTCCCACATCAAACACCTTCTTCTTCTCTCTCTCTCTCTCTCTCTCTCTCATCTGTTACCATTCTAATGGTGAAAATGGCTACTGGGTTGCTCTCACTTTTGCTTGCATTCTCATTGCTACTCACTAATCCTGCTTCTGCAGCTGTGCCTCTGGATGGTAAGCTCTCTCTCTGATCTGTTTCACTGAGCTCTGTCTTTACTTTTGTGCTCTCTCTCTCTCTCTCTCTCTCTCTCTCTCTCTCTCTCTCTCTCTCTTTTCTGATCTATTATTTATCTGCACATCTTAATCAGGACTCTTGGCCAATGGCAACTTTGAAGAGCCACCAAAACCAACTAGCCTCAAGAAAACAGTTCTGGTAGGCAAATATGCACTGCCCAAGTGGGAAATCAATGGCCTGGTGGAGTACATTTCCGCCGGGCCGCAACCCGGCGGAATGTACTTTCATGTAGCTCATGGCGTCCATGCTGTGAGGCTTGGCAATGAGGCCTCAATCTCACAGACCCTTAAGGTCAAACCAGGCTCTCTGTATGCCCTAACATTCGGGGCATCAAGGACTTGTGCCCAAGAGGAGGTTTTGAGGGTTTTGGTGCCTCCCCAGGCAGGGGACCTTCCTATGCAAACCCTATACAGCAGCAACGGCGGCGACACTTACGCTTGGGGATTCAGAGCAACTTCTGAAACTGTTAAAGTGACCTTTCACAATCCTGGGGTTCAGGAGGATCCTGCTTGCGGCCCTCTCTTGGATGCCATTGCTATCAAGGAGCTTTTCCCTGTGTACCCCACTAGAGGTAACTATACTTATGCAGCTAGTTTCCAACTCCGATCTGATTTATTGACATGGTTGATTGTTTTAGGGTGTAGAATCATTACTCAAAGCTTAGACGACGTCCTGCACAGACAATTTATTTTGTTACTCCTATATAAAGAACATGTTTCTGTTCAAACATTTTGTAACATAGAATTTGCACAAAGTTTTTTGCTTGATAGTTATATGGGTTATCCAGATCTGGGTTCCTTTGTCCACTGTGCATCTAGCTCATTAGACTAACTCCAATGATGGGCTAAAAGCCAAATTACCTACCAAACCCAATCCAACCCCAAGGGCAAATTTTGGGCTAAATGCGAAATGCTAAACCAAGGCCAGATTTCCCTTAAAATTTAGCCTAGAAATCGGAATTTATATTTTTCAATATTTATTGGAATTTAATTTTTTTTTAGATTAAAATGTTTATAAAATTAATTTACGATAGTCTACATATTTATTTATTTATTTATAAATTTAATTTAACAAAAAAAATAGCCTAAGTTCATTCTTTAATAATTCTGGGCAAAAATTTTAGGCCAAAATGGAGCAGAAAAGTTGTTTATGGGTTAAAAGCTAAATTTTCCGAGCTAAAATATTTGTCTTTTAGCCCACCATTGGAGATGGTCTTAGGGGTGGCTTTTCCAACTTTTTTTTAGGTCAAGGGGTCGATTGATAACTATTTCGGTGTTCAGTCTATTAAAAACGTAAACTAGTTGAAGTTTTTTTACCTTTGGAAAGACAGAAAGCTTGACACTTGTTTGGCAACCGTTTTCGTTTTTAAATTGTATGCTCTGGTTTTTGGATGTGTTGCTTATTGGAATTTACAAAGAAAACAAGGCTATTTTGTTGAAACCATTGAATGTTTCTTGCAGATAATTTGGTCAGAAACCCTGGCTTTGAAGAGGCTCCCCATAGGTTATTGAACTCTTCCCATGGTGTACTCCTCCCTCCGAAACAACTAGATGTGACATCCCCGCTCCCCGGCTGGATCATCGAGTCCCTCAAGGCCGTAAAGTTCATCGATTCCAATCACTTCAATGTTCCAGTCGGAAAGGGCGCAGTTGAGCTTGTTGCGGGGAGAGAAAGCGCCATAGCCCAGATTATTAGAACAGTTCCCAACAAGCTCTACAGCCTCTCGTTCACCGTCGGTGATGCAAGAAACGGCTGCCAAGGATCAATGATGGTTGAAGCATTTGCCGGCAAGGACACGCTCAAAGTTCCCTTCGCCTCCAAAGGAAAAGGCGGGTTCAAGAAGGCCAGTTTCAGATTCAAAGCGGTTTCAATCAGGACCAGAATCACGTTCTTCAGCTCCTACTACCACACCAAGGACTATGGAGCTCTTTGTGGCCCTATCCTAGATGAAGTTAAGGTTTCCCCTGTTGCTTAAATGCTTGTTTTTTTAGTTAAATCATCATAAGACTAGAACATCATTATAGAGATTGTGCAACGGGTAATATGATTCGGACATTTTGTAAATTTGGCCGTTGCTGAGGGCAGATGTGTTACCGTTATTTAAGTCTGCAGACTGCAGTGCTATATTTTCAACCAGAAAGCTATCTAAGTTTTCAGATTTAAGTAATATTGAATGTGGGCTATGAATTTCAGATATTTATTTTGGGAACTTTACCGAAAAGCTTTCGTAATTATTCATTTTAACGAAAAATCATATTTTTACACTAAAAATTCAATCATGTTATTATTCACTTCACTTTTTATTTTGTTCTTATCGTTAAAACTCAAAGTTTTCAAGTTTTTTTTTATTAGTTTTTCTATTTATTTTCTAGTTAATTAGTGTAGCTCCACAACATTTGTTAATATTAGTGAGAAACATTTAAAGGTATAAACCTAAAAATCCATCCTCGATTAACTGCTTAATGAATAATGACGGATTCTATAATATCCAGATCAACAGATTTTTCTTCAAAACGGCGCTTCAAGTGTTTTGGATGTTAAAGTAAGTTTTAATGGCCTTATTTGTGAAGGATCTTAAGTTTTCTTTGGTAGCTTATGATAAAATAAAAGGGGATTACCTCTAGATTAAATGGGGATTTTACTAGATTTGGATGTTTAATGATGTAATTATCATATTGCACAGCTTGTTTAGAACCCTTGCCCTTGCTAATTAAAGCAGCTAAACTGTGAAGCACTTCTTATATAAAAAAAAAACATACATTGTCGAAACTTTCCAGTTCGATCACGGGTTGATAATTAAATCAGAAATATGCAACATTAAGAACATCTCCAATGCTTATGCAACAACAATATACAACAAAATCTGAATTTGACATGGTACAACATTGTATGAGAAGGTGTGTTTCTTATAAAATGAATATATAAAGTTGTCCCGTGTGATAAATATGATGTGAACTTTGAATTGGAAAATAAATTGCTGTACCTATCTGCTGGTATGATGAGCGGGCCGACGATTCCTAAGAGCAATTCCACCCCAGTGGATTTTGCCCAGGACCTAGCACAAAAACAGGGCCAGCACCCTGTCAACCAAGTCCACCCCTCATTTTGACTGGTACCCAGCCCGAGCTGGGCAATGGACCAGCCCAAAACAGACTGAGCAAGAAGCTGGGCAGTTTGCCTGGCGCGTGCGCTTCACGCAGGCGCTGCCGCGAGTAGCCGACAGGGCTGTTAGCCCACTTGTGCTCCGGATCCCATCAGCGACGTGGCATGCTTATATCCGTTGGATTTCCAACGGCTAGTTTTTCTAGACCGTTGGATTTCCAACGGTAAAAAAAAATTAAATTTTACTTTTAAAATATACCGTCCGATCACAGATCAACGGTCCACGTTAATTAACTAATTAAAATTGATTAAAACATACAGAAAAAATATTAAAAAATACATAAAATTTAAAAAAAAAATTATTTATTTTTTCTATAAATACCTAACTCTCATCTTCCACCTTACACCACATTTCAATATTTTCTACACTTTCTACCAAAGCTTTCATATACTTTTTGTGTGAAAAAAAAAATACCAAAAAACTTGTGGTTGAAGAATAAAGTGTATTTGATGAGTTTATGTAATTTCATTTTAGTGTGTTTTTTTTTATAGTTTATTTGATAAGTATGTAATTTTATTTTAGTGTGTATTTTTTTTAAGTTTATTTGAAATTTTATCTGAAATTGGTTAAAAATCTTATCCGAAATAAACTTAAAAAAAAAAAACACACCAAAAAAATGCGCTGGGTGCCAGCGCATTTTTTTAGGGGTGGAGATGCCTTGGCCTATTACTGTTCACTCCAGTCTATTACTGTTCATTTGAGTGGATAAATGCGCTGGGTGCTGGCGCAAAGTCCTTAGGGGTGGACTTGCTCTAATGATTTGAGTGTTGTCCTTCGCCATCGTCTAAAAGTACCAACAAGACATTTCTCGAGTAAAAATTCAGCATGCACCCAAGCATGGTATATATCTAAAGAAATGTAATAGGAGCAATAGTTAACAGCACTTTATAATTGGCTAAAATAAAATGAAGATGATCCCAAACACATTGCTGATTTGCAGGTCTGGTCTGGCTTACAAGAGAATCCGACATTCCTGTTCAAGTTTTGGAAATGCTTGTTATGATTCAAAACTTCTTTGGTGAACAAAAAAAAGAGAAAAACCTTCCCAATCCTACTCCAATAGTAATAACAAGTTTTACTGGCAGTTCTGTTGGCAGATAATACATTTGCTCACCACCCATTCTATGTGCCGTTGGAAGAGTTTGATTTAATCTACCCACGACACAGATCCCAAAAATAAAACACATCCCAAAACACATAATATGGTATGGTGGTAGCAAATCTATTCTCTTGTTTTCATGGAGACGTCAGGCTTAAGAACAATAAAACTCAACAACACATAACCAATTAAGTATAGAAAAGGATACTGAATAACGAAGTGCAGTCTTTTCCCACAGCCTTCTTTAGAATATCAACACCTGAAGAAAAAGAAGTTGTCAAAAACAGGAATAGTATGTCGTAGTTCTAACCAAATAACATACAGAACTCTCGCAAAGTTTCATTTATGGTTCGTAGTTAGACCTCATCACTCAGCAGTTTTTTGGTGACAGAATTATGCCAATTGCAACATGAAGGATTTAATAAAATTGGTGGTGAATAGGTAATGCATTTGAAAATGCTTATATAGAAATTATATTGTTAACATCAGATTGCCCTATATATGCAAACGCTTCGCCTTTCTACCTTATTACTCTTCCTACGTCATTAACGAGCTCAGAGTTGGCACACATCCACCAAGTAAACTTGAAATCAATAGCCCACATCCCTTTTATAGCTAACCTTCATTAGAAATTTAGAAGAAACAAAAAGTGCCCAGATTTTTGTTAGCACTTCTTGTAGATGTCCCATGCTATTAATTTAATTTTGTAGCTAAGTTGTCATTGTGGAGCAATAAAACTTCAATAAGAAGACTACAAGAACCCGATAAAACATGCCTACCGATATAAATACTTTAACAATTTTGGGGTTTACAGAGAAAGGTGTCAGCAATACACACTTGGAATGACACAGCTCACTCCAGCTAACATTTGAACTTGAGCAGACTAAAACATGTACATACCTCCAGGGTGAAATCTCATGTATGGAGACAAATTGTACACGCGACCTTTTAGAACAGTCCATATTGAATCTCCTTTTTGGTGCTGTTTAACTTCATTCAGTGAAATAAGCCTCTTATTTGACTGTCCCTTTAAGCCTGAGACACAATTTGTATCTTGAGAAGCTAACACAGATATAATCACTAGTGCACTTGAAAATACCAGAGATATCACAGGTTGTTTCCTGAATTTATAATAACATGCATCAGAAATTCATGACGAATATGCTTTCTACGAGTACATAATATTCATAAACGTGTTTTCAACAAGGATGACTTAGGGACCTCAATGAACTTGTAGAGCTAGAATACTTTCATTGGGCAAAGTTTGAAGGTATTTTCTTTATATCTTCTGATAATTGCCTTTAGGATTATCACAAAGTGCAAAAGCTTTACAAAAGATAAAAATAAAGTATATTCTCTGGGATTATCACAAAGTTTAAAGGTATTTCTTTACAACTTTTGTTCTTGACAAGAGTCGCAAATAAAAACTTACGAGTGTTATAAAGAAAAATCACAAATTATGTATGCATCATAGCTAGCAGAACACAAATGACAAGAAAAAAAAAAAGGTCAAGAAAAATAGTGACAGGAAGAAGAAAAATTATGACAGATGAGAAGCAATATCAGCTGAGGCACTTTTTAACTAAGTACCTGCAAGGTCAGGATGTGTTCGAGTAAGTTTGAGCCAATCCATTTGGCTATATCCCTTCTCAAAAGGAACTTTAGCACGAGTTGCAGGCTTGACTGAGTTTCCAGCATCACCTGATTTTAGTTGCTTTGGAACTTCAGATTTCTTTTTCATGGATGATTCATCAATGGCGCTGACAGACAAAGAACCAACTATTTCCATTTTTTTGGAAGTGGCTCCTCCTGGTAATCCACCTTGCCAAAGAACACCTCTATTCTCATTACTACTAGTGCCATTTGACAATCCACCCTTTATGGTAATGCTTTCTATATCTGAAGTGAGCTTCTTTATCTCATGATCTTCCTGGTTCCCTGGTGGGCCAACCTGAACATATATCACAGACCTTACATCAATATGGAATTATGACATAAAAAAACCCCAGCCACTATCAATCATATCCCCGAAACACAAACCACTGCAGATGATGCATTGAATCAATGGGCATTTCAAGGGTATAGCTTTCTTGATAACAAAATGTACATATAACGCTTACCTGGCAAAAAGTGAAATCGTTATCATTGTCCATTTCTAAGCTGAATGAAGTTCCCAGACTATTTCAAGCAATCTTTCCTGTCAAAAGATAATATAAACATCACATTTTAATACCAAAAAGATCATGAGATGCCATTTCTAAAATACGATAGTACCATACTCTGTTAGCCAAACTTAAACGATAACCATCTAGTAAGACAATATACATGAAATGGGGACAATTAAGACTCTTGATTACACACTGCCAATTATGAATCTTGAATACACAACAGCTTAGTACTGTTTTCTACGGCTTTTGATAACTGTATTTAAAAATATTTTGGGAACTCAGCAAAACAGGTCAAGCTCCCCCTCCCTCCTCCTCAAGACTGAAGAGGATAAACAAAATTCTCAGTAAAGCTTTTTAACTTTTTAGAGTACAGAAAAATGTTATGTCCAACAAAAGGAAGAAGAAAAATATTATGTCATCTATATTAGTGTTTACTAAGTGAGATGGGCATCAGGTCCAAACTCATATGTCTTTTCTTCGCCATGAAACTCACAAATCATAATCGTTCGGACAAAAGTCCATGATTCATATAAGCTAAGGAATAATAACGAATAATCCACTAAGCTTGAACTTTATTACAGATTGTCAAAACTTCGATTTAATTGAACATGGAACAACTGTGTATGCTTAACTTTGACTCCAAAATTTCCAAATGCCGGAGTCATTCCAAACATTAACTCTACCACAACTTCATTCCAGTATCCAAAGTGATTTCAAGCAAATAGCTCACTACCCAATACTCATAACTTTGAATCCAAGTCCTTATACATTCAAATCCAATTGAAGAAAGCAATTGACATACAAAGATTTCCACTCTAATAGTTTTACAAAGACAGCAATTGAGTAAAATCATTCATCATTCAGGACTGGAGAAAAAAGTAAACAAAATGAACAAAACCTCCAGTGCTCCAGCTGACCCTAAATACCAGTACACCCTTGTCTAACTAAACTTCTTTGATTCACCGAAAGCTTTCCCATAATCATAGGGTCACACCAACGCATAGCTTTAAGTCCTTACATATTTGCATTAGTAATGGATGAGTTAACCGGACATATTCAAGATGATATCTCATGGTGTATGTTTTTCGCAGATGACACCAAGGCTCAGCTTTAAGTCCTTAGCTTTTTGCATTGGTAATGGATTCATACAGCCGATCCTAGTTAGTGGGATAAGGCTTTGTTTTTGTTGTTGTTTATATACCGAAACTGAATGCGGTTGAAGTACATGACACCAAAATTTAATTCAACATTATTATATCCCAGTATTCTTAGTAGTTACCAAACAAATTTTTAATCTATAAACAGACCACGATTATACCAATTATCAATTTATATCAGCTAAAAACAAAACAGCTAAATCAAAACCCTTAATTCGAACAAAAATGTTAACCATACTAAAAAAATTCAGAAAATACCCGAATACTAATTCAACCATGAAGTTGTGATCTTCAGATGACTCTCTCTCTCTCTCTCTCTCTCTCTCTAATGATCTAATCAGGTAAGACCAACAAATCAATGACAATAAGAAAGAGATCACAGAATCTCATGTACGCTGAATTTCAATTACTGTGGCTGTTATTGTCGAAATTTCAATTTTCTTTGTGAATTCCTTGAATTTTCTCAGCAATCATACAGAAACAGAAAGCTTAGAATAATCAGAGTGGATGAGAGATGGGAAAGAAAAACGTAGTCGCAAGTATGGATTCAGGTTGATGTAGTTGCCATCGTCCAGACAGCGGAATTGGACTCCGGTGGATTCAGGTTATTGTTGTCAGCTAGAAGAACAAGCTAATCTAATGCCTTCTCATTTCTGTGTATTTATTTATTTGTCGACGGGAGATATGGGTGGAAGCGTGAAAGACTTTGCATGGTACTTATTTGGTGCTAATAACAAAAGGGTATGTGTTAGCTTTTTCTGGCATGTTTTTATGTTATGAGTCCGGAAAGTTAATGTGGTGTTGAATTCGTATCATACAAGTTGTTTTCGTGAAAACAAGTATATATATTATGTTTTTGGCATAATATTTTATAATACTAACACAGAAATTAACGTTAAATTGTGATAGAATTCATGAAGAATTCTACTTTTAGAGAATTCTCTTACCATTTCTCAAAATAAATATACGGTCATCCAAATTAAAATGGAGGCAAAACCTGTAACCAAAATTGTATGTGACCTGACCTAGGTGAGACACCTCCGGTACTTGGGAAACGTTTATAGATGGAGCTCAGCTATTAATTAAGGATCATGTTATCCACACAATTATTTTTACCTTTTACACACATTTCTCAAATTTCAATAATCGAATCGAATAAATTGAATTTTTTTTTAATAATAATGTATGAGAAATAAAAGAAAAGTACGTAAATAACACTACGCTTATCTACTGAGCAAGGATCTAAAGAGGAGGTTGACTACCAACTATTTTCATTCCACTCGTGCAAAGGAATGTGAATATGCTACTCATGTTCTTAGGGATTCCCTTAATGCTTGTAGGGTATGGCAAAGTTTTCCCAGCCCTCATTCTTTATATAAATTTGTAGATGTCTTTGTGAAGGAAGTTGAGGTTCTATCATAAAACCAATTGAACTAAAAATCCAAAGCTATTATGCTTGAATGGTTAGAATGGTAGTTGGTGTTTTGTATCTCGTTCATCTGACAATGGCGAAATATGAGTAATTTTAGCGAGATTTTGTTATCTAAGCGATCCCAAAGCTATTAATTCGGTTAATTCTCAAAAGACCATGCTTTAATAAAATAAAAAAGTAAAATTTGGACCTATGAAATTACATTATCGCCAATCATTTTTTTTGTATGATAGAAGACTAAGTTGTCTTTTCATCCACTTCTGATTGACAAAAAGAGTTTTATTAATTAATAGAGATATGGATGAGTGTAAGTACTGGTTTGGTACTGAGTGTTTTTATAAAAAGTGGATATAAAAAACAGCTGAGCTCAAAAATGTGTTTGGTAAACACTTAAAAACAGTTTATTTTCATAGTTTTGGGTGAAAAAAACTAAAAATGTGAAACAACAAATATGAGCTTATTCTCACATTACAGCAGAAGCAGAAACTTATTTTCTCGTGAGAGACGTTGTTGAGACCGCTAGCCTCTAGGACACATGATGTTTTATTGTAGTTTCTCGACGTTTATCCCATTGATAAAAAGTGTCCATAAATAAGGAAAGGGATCCTATCCGGATTTCTTCTATCAAATACACCAAGTCAATTAATCCGGGTTCTTGAAATTTGATTAAATGACTACAAACATGAGTACTTTAAAAATTATAATAATTTTAGTTGTTGAATCAAATTTCGATAGTCTGAATCACGGACTTTGATGAATTTGGTGGAAGAGATACAAGTTCCTTTCCCATAAACAAATCCCATTATCGCACGCACGCACCCTTCCAGTCAACTGAGATTCAACGCCTTCCTACATGATTCCCTTTCCCCTTCATCATCCACCGTGATTCTTCAAACTCGAACCCCATCCGTCCGATTTCCCATTCAAACATTTCAAACACCGCGCCCAAAATCCATTTGAAATTCGAATTCAAAAACCTAATCGACCGTTGCATCCCACTCATAAATCGCTAATTCCTCTCCCCCTCCCCTCACTCATTTCCTCACTCTAGAACCATCCGCCTCCTCCAAACGCCACCAACCATGGCGATCGAGAAGAAACGCCCTCTCCAAACCAGCAACAACGCCAACATCGACCACCCAGCCCCCACCGATGGCGGAGGAAAAGGCAAGACTATCGAAGAAATGTACCAGAAGAAGAGCCAGCTGGAGCATATCTTGCTCCGACCCGATACCTACATCGGGTCGATCGAGAAGCACACCTCGAGCCTCTGGGTCTACCAAAATGGCGAGATGGTCAACCGTTCCATCACCTACGTTCCCGGCCTGTACAAGATCTTCGACGAAATTCTCGTCAACGCCGCCGATAACAAACAGCGAGATCCGTCCATGGACTCAGTCAAAGTCACCATTGACGTCGAGCAGAACTCCATCAGCGTCTACAACAGCGGCGCTGGAGTTCCTGTCGAGATTCACCAGGAGGAGAGGGTCTACGTCCCGGAGTTGATCTTCGGGCACCTCCTGACCAGTAGCAATTACGACGATACGGTGAAGAAGACCACCGGTGGACGCAATGGCTACGGCGCCAAGCTTACGAACATCTTTTCCACTGAGTTCATCATCGAGACGGCGGACGGAATGCGACAGAAGAAGTACAAGCAGGTATAAAATTATGGATTCTCTAATTTTTGTGACGTTTGATTTGTATTGTAGGGTTTTAATCTTTTGTGGGATTTAGGAATTGGTCCTCTAACAACAACAAATATATACCCTTATCCCACTGACAACGTCACTACACTCGATTTTGCACCAATTCTTCCGTTAGTTCCAAGTACTCTATGTATTTTCTTAGTCTCTTTCCAAGTCTTCTTAGGACTTCTTCTACCGTCTCTGTCTCATAATCACATCTTCTAACAGGAGCAACCATGGGTGTTTGGTTCACCTGTTCAAACCACCTTAACCGATTTTCTCTCATCTTATTCCTATCTTTGATTCTCCGATGAAAAATAATGTCCTTGTTTCCCATAAGATCCTTTTAGTTGGTAAGGAAAACAAAATGCTAAAATGTTATGATTCATTTTTCGATGGGTTTGAAATGGATTCCCAATTCTGCCTGACCAAACATTGCAGCAGGCATTTGGCAGTGATATTGTGTTCATTCATTATGTCAGTGGAGTAATCTGATCTTGCTGATTTCAGGTGTTCACCAACAACATGGGGAACAAAACTGCGCCAGTCATCACAAAGTGCAAAGAGAGTGAGAACTGGACCAGGGTTACATATAAGCCCGACCTGTCCAAGTTTAATATGACCCATCTGGAAGATGATGTGGTGGCGTTGATGCAAAAGAGAGTAATTGACTTGGCCGGATGCCTCGGAAAGACGGTGAAGGTTGAGCTGAATGGAACGAGGGTCCCTGTAAAGTCATTTCTTGATTATGTTGACCTCTACTTACAATCTGCCGGAAAATCGAGAGATGCTCCCCTTCTAAGGTTTTTGTAATGAATTGCA